GAGAAGCGTTTTTGTGGGTGGTCCACACCGCGACCGTTGCTATGCAATGGTGCGGTAAAGCAGCCTAAAACAATACGGGAAAATGGAAGACGGTATTCTCCGTCGAGTCCATGCAAAGTGGTTGTAAAGTAATTCAGCTGAGCAGCATAGAGAGTGGAGAGTCGAGTTTCGGGATGCCAGCCTGCCAAGATATAAGCTTGGGAGCAGGGCAATTGAATTGAGTTGGCAAGTGGAGAATAGTGGCAAGAGGACTTCATGTGTGATTTGTAGATACAGCAAGACTGTTATAAATCCGTTGGCAGGATACGACTTGTGATGACTAAGAACGCTAATGCGTGTGTAACGGTGAACTGTAAAGTCTGTAGATAAGCGATAGGGTCGCATTGCCTGAAGTCCCGAGTTGTGTGAATAAGGTGTTGACAAATCCAATCATCCTGTCCAAACCCCGTCTTATAAGTCACCCCTAGAAAGTAAAAAGTAAAGGTATCCCTGTAACAGGTAGTGGAGACCCATAGGGTTGTGAGAAGTTGAGGCTCCCACATTTTCTAGACAATCGGCTCACAGATGGTGTTGAGGTTGTCAGCCTTTCGCACCGGCCGCCCTTTACCCCCAAGAATATTCCTGGTACACATTTCTGCTAGAAGCTGAGTCGACCCCAGGGATATAGTGCGGCTGGAAGGATTAGGTAAATTGAAAAAGAATCCACTTCATCGAGATTCAATCCCGCAAACTTACGATTTATAGATTTGTAGCATAGTGCCTCAACCAACTACGCTACACACGTACACGTGACAATACTGTAACGTGCTGACTGCGCGTTCTGGTATAAGCCAACTACATAAGTACGGCTAGGGTGAATCATCGCACTCAAGGACAAACATGGGTAAGGCCTCTCAGCTGACAGGTACACTGCGTGGACCCGCCAGAAGACCACACTTTTCTTGGGCCATTATGTCCGTAACCGTTCAACTTCGGACACAGGTGTTTTGGGTTATATCGGCATACTTTAACATAAGGAACACCCTCCCGAAGTTTGGTCCATTCCTCCTGGGACATCCTGTATATGGTGTTAGGACGCTGACTGGATTTAATTATCAGCTCAGTGGAGGTCTTGTCCCATTCACTCGTAAAATACAATACATTCTTAATGCCACAGTGACGTGTCTGAAGAGTACACCTTTCGAGAGATAAGGCCATTAATCTTGTAGAATGCACAGCGTCGCGTCCTCCAGAAGGCAGTAATGTCATGATATCCACCACCGCGTGAACCTCACAACTCTGTCCGTTACCATTCCTGCTGACTGGGATCCAATATGTACGTCACATACTTTGGCGTCTCAGTTACATTTCCCTGCGTTTGGTAGCTGTTTACGTAGTGTTAAGAGTTGTGATCTTCTGCACGTTATATCTGGACAGGCCATTAGCATGCCCCTGCAAATTGCATGGGCACAGTGTGGTCGTTGCTTCCAGCACCAGACACAATTAGACCGAGTGGCTGAACACTGCTGTGCAGTTCGTGTCGAAAGCGAAACCATTTCTATCATATCCCTCGGTGAGACATCACGTGATCCGTGTCTACAGCACAATGGTAGTGACACCTGCTTTATGTGCGCCTGTTACTTTGATGTAACAACAGTAACTACTGGTGTTGAGACAACAGAGCTTTCAGGGAACAATGTGGACTTGAGAGGGATTAAGTAAAGGAGTAATTAGGCATATTACATTATGAGGAATGGCATGAAGTCTCAATCAGTATAATAGCAAGGCTGCGGGTTGGATGGCAGGAGAATTGCTGGTCGATTCCCGGCTAGTACTTAATGGGTGCTGATGGGCAGCTTCCCCAGGGAAGAGGACCGGACTTGAAGCTGAACACTCGTCTCCGTCAAGCACGGAAAGTTGAAAAGGACTGGAATTTTACCTCCATATAGATACTTGTATGTATTACGTTTCTGTTAGAGTCTGAGTGGACCCGCGGCTGGAAGCATTAGGTCAACTGAAAAATTCAGGGACCTCATCGGGAATCGAACCCGTGACCTTCAGGCTCGTAGCATAGAACGCTACCGCGTGCCCCGCTATGTATTTTATGTTCTACATAAAATGGTGCATGAATGCAGGAGAATTAATGACAGGCCACAATTTCAAGCATTAAGTCCTTGAACGGAATGATCAGAAAGTCTTATCACCTCAGAAATTCACTTTGTAATTACAGTGTCATTGTTGCAGGGAGATTGTAAAGTATGAATGTATGATGGAGTCTATTGTCATGATGTTCATGCCGAGGTTTATGAATATCCGAATTTTGGTTCAGCAGTTCTTCATTGGACACGCCGATACGCGGACATGTTTAAGCGCAAACCTGTATTTCCTTAATAAGGAAAGCGGGCTAAAAGTGTTTAAAATTAATGTAATTTCGAAATTAATAAAGGGGAATGTGCAAAATTTGATTTGAATTTTATAAATACATATGGAAATCTAACAGAGGAATATTTCAAGAAATCGTCATGTGAAACAAAGTGCGCCTGTAGAACTTCCGGCTCAGTGTTCTTTGTCTGTATCACTTCGTAGAACAGAGAATCCCTATGGATAGGCAGTGTTGTGGCCTAATGCAGGTACTATACAAGCATTAGCCTGGAGGAACAAGGGAAAACTACTGGAAACCTCAGTCAGGATTCGTTGCCACGGGACTGTGTTTGCCGAGTCATTGCCTAACGTCTATTCCTACTTCAATATTCCAGCTTTCGGGCGTCAAGTCACAGTATTAATTTAGACCCATTAATTTCTATATCTCGTCATAACACATGTTGTTTTTTATGTTACGCCTAACTGTTAGTGCTAGAATTGTTTAATTTCGTATTTTTGTGTCGTCGGTGGGTTGTGGGTTTCCGTCAAGCTTTTCGTATACTAGAGGGTGATAATGTCTTCTGAGATTCATTGTTAATACTTCTTTTATATTGTGGAGTATAGGCCCGTTGCTAAGTGTGAGTCTGTAAACAACGACCATTTCTCGGCAACGGCTCAGTAAACACGTTCCCGCGGCAACGAATACTCACGCAACAATAGAGGTACTGTTGGAAACATGGTGTTTCCTTATGTGGTCCATACCGGGATGGTATAACCAGACCAGTTGGAGCAGTGATTTCAGTTTTGAGTAGTATTAGCCAGCGGGCAAGGACGTGATCAAAGAAGCTGAAGAAACTTAATTGTTGAGAGCAGTTACCAAGCAACAACTAAGGAAGACTAGGAAATATTTAGGCTTAGATGGTGCTGCGGTGATTTTTAAAGTGTGTAGATCAGCGATAGCGCTGTGATTACTTGTAGTTCCGAGTCGTGTGTACAAGTGGTCAGTAAATCCGTTCACCAATAAAAACCTTGTCGCACGTAACAATTTGTTATGATCATTACTCGAGCAAAAGTATTCTTACAACCTCTTTATTACAATCGTCACAACACAACAATTATCAAGATCAGTGCCTAGTTTTGGCTCTGCTACATGTTTCGACTATCAGTAGCCATCATCAGGTAAATACACGGTTAACATATATACACCACTGAACTGCAGTACTAGTAAAATTGGATAGAATACTATTAATATATAAAACACTTGACGTAAGAAATACCGTTTTTGTTAGTGCATATTTAGGTGTTAAATTTTCAGCCAAGCATTTCTTATTAAAATACGAATTAGCATTGCAGTTCAATAGCTTTAGTTTAGTGTTCATGTATTTATATATGCAACTTGCTTGACTAACATTTATAATTTTCATTTCATGCATCCTGTTGTGTTACAGTATACAACCTCAAATTGTCAATGAAAAATCCGTCGAGTGTAACAATGTTTTTAGGTCACTTATTTATCTCACTTGAGGCAAGTGAGATAAATAAGTGACCTAAAAACATTGTTATACTCGACGGATCTTTCATTGACAATTTGTGATTGATAGTGTAACGGATCAAAATGAAACAATTCAATATACAACCTCTTTATTACAACCGTCACAACACAACAAATATCAAGATCAGTGCCTAGTATCTATATGTATTTCTTCATGATTTTGTAATGTAGGATCGTGATTGAAGCTTTATTCTCTTTGGAGTTTGTGTTTGTGTGCTTTTTTTATGTGGATGTTTTCTTCCTATTATCGAATGATTTTCCTGATACAGAAATCAATGTATTTAACATAAAACTAATACTGATCCGTATTAGGACAATTCAATAACAAGCGACGTATTGAAGAAACCGCCTGACGCTGATCCAAACTTGGATGGAATCATGTAACAGGCGCAAAATAGAACCAATGTTAGTACAGTGATGTTGAATTGATTTGTTTGAAATTTGTTTTGTTAACGACCAAATAAACATATCATATCTTCATGATGGCATTAAACTTCGGCCTTGACGTATCATTCTGTAACATGCATAGGAGAGAGCAAAAGTTAATATTACGAAATCTTATATAAAAATTTATGGACTACCCCGTTGAATTATCAACGGGTTTTACAATTATTTAGATATATATGGCTAATGCATCTCATTTCTTCGTAATTGTTATCAATTAGGCTAGGTGATGGCACTAAATATTTCCTGTTTTATTATTATCAGTTGATAGCAGATTATTACAAAGTTGTTAGTAGTTGCAAATAGTAATAAAGCATGACTCAAATAAACAGTAGTAAAAGTTATCCTTAAGAAGTCGGTATTGCAGAATGTTTAAGACTTTTGTATCTATACAGATTCAATGTTCAACAATTTCCCATTGAAATCATACACTATTTTTTTTTTTCAAAATTATTTTCTAGTCAGATTACATGTACATTAAGAACTGCTTCCGTTCACCATTGCTTTAGGAGTTTATTCCAGCTCAAGCATTGGGCTGTACATGACATTTTATTTACTCGCTTTCCAATCGATACTTTTCCCAGGCTCGCGTAACAGATGGGCATGAGTAGACGTCGCAGAAAATTGGTATAACTGAGACACACTGACGTGTTTTCTTCTTCAGATCGACGTCATGGCGTCCAGCGCGTCAACCCAGAGACGGGATATGATTTTCATTCTAACCCTGCAAGTCATTTTCATTGTCGCTTTCTTCGCGTGTAGCCGGTACGACCCTGAATTGAGTGCCACTCTGCCTTCTGGAAACACACCAGCTCTGGATCATTATTATCCACGTAAGTAACATTCTCAGATCTCTTGCCATGGCTCCAGTAGACAAGCTAAACGCAAAGTAAGTGCAACGTTAAGCGAATAGGAAGTCTGTACTAATGAATCGGCGGTATGTGCTTTCAATAAGGTCGTGAGCCTCGTGTAAATACTCTGTAAAAACGATGTTAAAATGGAGACTGCTACGGTTCGCGTTTCTCCTAGGCGACCCTGTGATACGGGAAAGGAGAAGAACAAGTTAAGTTTCACGTGGAAGGATTAACTTCATCTCTCACCCTAATTATCATAGTGATATATCTCTATAAAATTATGTAACGGTGAGATGGGAGCTCTGAAATCACGGAATTTTAGGTTACCAAAGAAATGAATTGTTGAACGTTACCAAGTTGTAGAAAAATATTTTTGGTAGGTCATAAACGAGCGAGCAGTATTTCGTGTCAGTGTATCGTGTCTACGTTTTGAGTACTGATAACATTTTGATACGGGTATCTGAAGTTTAGTATACTGCATGAAGGTGACTGTATGCAATTGGTTATTTATGCCTGTTATACGTGGGATATGGCGTTTAATGTGGGCATCTGTGCATTAGTATAGTGGGACTTGAAAGAGATAAGGGAGAAAGAAAGAGAAATTAATATTACGTATGTTTTTATAACAAATAATGCTTCCTGCTGAATGATCAACGAGTGTTACATCAAGTTTGTTTCAGAAACATTTATTCTGTGGCTTAATGTTTTTTGTATGAAGTCGGGCATATTAACGGCGAGTCCATTTTTCATTATTGACATTGTTGCATATTTCGGCCAGCGAAAATAAGTAACTTGGCGGATGGACTTCAGAGAGTTACACCCCCTGGACGTGCAAAATACAGTTGAAAGTTAATTATGTGGTCAATTAATTAAGTACCACCCTATGAAGACATGTGGGGGCAATACATGGAAGTGAGTTGTCAGCTTCACGCCCCGGCCGTTTTACTCCCTCGGAAAGTCCGTCCGGTACCCCTTGGATAGGATGAGAGTTGGCCTGAATGCTGAAGGATACAAAAATTCTTTCCCTGCCGGTAAATGAACGTCGGACCTCCAGCTTATAGCTCGTCGCTTTACCGATCGAGCTGTCCACAGAAATAATCGTCGGTTAGAATATGAGATCACGAAGCGTGAATTCACTATAATCCCTAGATCTTGGAACCGCTCGATGCGGTGGAGGGGACGGAGGTCGCTTCATGGTACCTCTTCCTTTGGCATCACTTGCAATCTGTTTCCCTACTAACAGCGTCGTTAAATATAAAAAAGATAAAGCTATACCTTCAACAGGCCGTAGAGGTCCATAAGGTTGTGAGACGTCGAGGTTCCCACATTTTCTAGACAGTCGGCTCACAGATGGCGGTAAAGTTGTCACCCTTACTCTCCGGTCCTGGTACTCATTTTTGTTAGAGGCTGAATCGATCTCAGGGCCATAGTGGAAGTGGAAGGATTAGGCTAATTGAAAAATCCAATGACCTCATCGGGAATCGAATCCACGACCTTGCGTCTTGTAGCATAGTGCCTCAAATATACCATAAGTAAATAAATTTAGAGTCTATAGGCGTTAGATTTTGTAGGGCCGTTGCTGAAAAATTCCTTTGTTTGCGGATTCTAGTGAAGCTAAGCGAAAATATTCTTTACGTATAATGTAATGCTGTTCAAAGGCTGTAAGCCTACCGTTAATAAAATATTTGCGTATACTAGTAAAAATTATATCCATGTATTCATCCCACAGATAGACAAGTAAGGACCCTGTTCGTCCTTTCCTGGTCTAACTACCACGTATCCCTAAATTAAATTCATGGAACTGGGCAGTTCTTGAGAAGCCGCCAAGTATGCAGCTACTCAAGAACTTCCCAGCATTATATGGAACCCGAAGGTTCATTGCCGTGTTCACAAGAGCCCTCCACTGGTCCCTATCCTGATCCAGATCAGTCCAGTCCATAACACTCCATCCTATCTCTCTAAGATCCAGTTTAATGTTGTCTACACACCTACGTCTTGGTCTTCCTAGTAGTCTCTTTCCTTCTGGCTTTCCCGCCAATGACTTATATGCATTCCTCTTCACCCCTGTTTGTACTAAATGCCCTGCCCATCTCATGGTCCTTGACTTGATAATTCTAATTATACTTGGAGAAAAGTACAAGCTGTGAAGCTCCTCATTATGCAGTTTTCTCCAACCTCCTGTCACTTCATCTCTCTTCGGTTCAAATATTCTCCTCAGGACCCTGTGGGTCTAAGTTTGTCCCGTTTTTTTGCGGGTTTTATTCCAGAATCTAATGAAGTTGTTGTCGGTTATTTGTACACGTGCCAGCCAGTGTTCACTCTAGCCTGTTGAGAGATTACCATGAGATGTGTTCCTTTCCGAACATGATCCAAGTAAAGCAAAGATGAAGTGCAGATGGTCCGTCACTGCTTTTCTCTGCTCTAGCTGACGTCATGTCGGCTAAGAGAATATATACGTACCGCTGCTGGTAACATTTAAATACACTTTTCTGGAAATGTCATTAAATTTGTCTTGCGCATTAATTCCTTGCTGCTGTAAATTAACGTAACAACTAGCACCTTGTAATCTAAGCAAAAAAAAAAACCGAATATTTCCGGACTGGCTTAATGGTGTCTGAATAGAGAGTCACGCAGATGGTTCTCACGGTATTCAGGCCTGCTCTGCAAGCCTGGGGCACTGGGAGTGTGTTGTGTTTCCTATATTGGAAGTTAATTTGATGTCTATATCAACATTATCATCATCAATGTCATCATTATTGTTGTTCAGAGATACTGGGTTTTCGGACTTCATCCATCGTCCTGGTTTTAAGATAACTAAGAAAAACACGACCTTTCGGAAACTGGATCTGTTTCCGTCCTCAGGTGAGGGAAAACACCTATTCTGTTGGGTCCCTTAGAAAGAGCTAGCCTCAATTACTGGGTCGTGTTTTTCTTAGTTATCTCAAAGCCAGGACGATGGATAAAGTCCGAAACCCCAATATCTCTGTGTGTTATACACCATTGTCAGAACCCTATAGTAACTATTATTGTTGTCTTATTTTTCACGCAGTAGATATCCTTCTGTCATTTGCGCCCTAGCTTCAAATGAAATCTTTAATGAAGCGATTATAATTTTACCCTAATCTATCTATCTAGCTATCTATGGCTCTACAGCCATTGTGGACCTTTTCCGCTTTTCCAGTTACTTAATTTATACACAGTCGGCAGAACTCCTTGGACGGGGATCAGCCCGCCATGAGGCCGCTACCTAAACACGGAACACAACAAACACAGAATAAAGGCAAACAGACATCCATTCCTCGAATGGAATTTGAACCCACGATCCCAGTGTTGAGCGGGTGAAGACGGTTCATGCCTTAGACCGCGCGACCACTGTGATAGGCAATTTTTAGCCTACTTTCGTTATTTTTAAAAAATAAATATATGCTTATTTGATTAGGTAGCTGCCTGCTTATGCTGTGTGTGTGTATGTGTATCCCCCGTAACAACTCCTGAATGCCTGTACGTCATACCATCTCAGATAATCTCAATAGCGCATTAATGTATTTTCCTACCTGTCCTGTCACGTACTCAGATTCTAGTGAAAGAAAGGTTAGGCGATTAGTTTTTCCGATGACTCCTTGTTTTAACATCAACCGTTTACGGTTATTGATATGTAAAGAACTGAAATGCTGAATGCTCAGTACTCAACTTACCAAATCAACATTAAAAGAGCAAGCTGCCCTTTATCTGCCCCTAAACGACAACAATGATACAGCAACATACAGCATGACACGACACACCATAGTCAAGGAAATGACACCAAACACAGCCTATGTTAATCAATTTTAACATAATGTGACATGACGCTTGAAAGCCGGCATAGTTGAATCAGAGCGGAAGTCCATTACTAGCCAACGGCTCGCCAAACACGCGTTCTCGCAGCAAGGAACAGACACGGAAGGCCATTACTAGGCAACGGCTCGCTAACACATTTTATCGCGGTAACAGAATAACAGAGGAACTTTAAGACATGGTAACTTTTTCGGTTCGCCGGAAGTTATAAAAGAGAGTTCATTCGTGAATTCGTCGTGCAAGGCAGTCGCAGTAGAAGAAGTAACAGCTTCGTAAACCTAAACCAAATCAGTCACAGTGGAAGAGAAGACACTCGTAGTCCAGCAAGGAATGGAGCGAGTCTTAGGAAGTCATTGATTGTGAGCTGTTATAATTGGTTGTAATTCTAAAGAAGTGCCAATAAATCCAATCATACAATCAGAAACTCTTCATTATTATACGTGACAATAATATTACGTAGTATCAGCTTTCTATAAGGAGCGTGGATAGCGCAGTCGGTATAGCGACTGTATATGGACTGGACGACCTAGCGGTAGGAGTTCGAGTCCCGGTAGGGTCAACAATTTTCTGTTTTCCACATGGTCCAAACCGGCTCTGGTGTCCACCCAGTCTCCTATCCAATAGATACCGGGAGGTGTTTCCCCGGGAGTATAGCGGCCGGGGCAAGAAGCTGACCAAACCTCTAACAAGTGCCGAGGTCAAGAAAATGTGAACCGATATATCCACCCTCCAATATGTCTCCATGGTGTGGTGCTTAATTTGTTAAGCACAGGAACACATTTACCTATTTTTACTTTCTAAAAGGAAACTATTTCCAGAGAATGTATGGAACGAGACGAAGAATAATACTGAGATAAAACCTTACAAAATACACAACTGAAATTTACGGCAGTAGCTTAGGTCACTGTTCCGCAACCTTTTTCTACTCGCGGCTCACCATGACGTATCCATGACTCAACACGGCACACCAAAATGTTATTCCCCTCAAAAACGCATGATATCAGACAATTAATATAAATACGTAACGTGATCAACTTATTACTATAATATTATTATATTGTTACTTTATTATCATTAAACAGATATCGACTCGTACATTTATTAACAATTAATGAACTTTAATTCACTGTAGAGTGTATAAAATA